GGTTTATAGACTAAACCCATGATAAGGTCTTTACTTTGCTATAACAGCAACTCAAATGGTTTTATCTAATGACCTTTGATTTTATCTCGCACAAGACACATAACGATCCAAACTCTTGTATTAGAATCAGATCGAATAAAATCGAGCTGATAGAATAAAGAAAATGAAAAGAGTTTGATCAACATGTAGATGCTTTGGAACATAAAGAATAGCACCACGTATCTCTAATTCATGCTTTCGGACCTACATATCTTTTAGCTTTTGGCACCTCCTCCTTTTTAGTTGGAGTATCTTTGATTGTTGAACGACAACTTGACTCCCCGCCATTTGATTAGTAAGAGTAGGGCGGATACATTTCTTGTGGCCAGTAACACCACATAGCAAGTCACATCTCTGGCTAATGATTGCTCAATTCTTTAATGAAGATTGTTATATTTCTATCGACTATCTCGACCATTTACTTCTTCAGTATTCTACTGATGTTTTGTCACTATATAAGACATGGTTCTCTGAACCAATTAACTCCTTTCGCGGATTTGTACTAATCGGACTCGATTCTTTAAGATTGAACAATACTTCTTCTTAGTCATTACCGAATCGAAGGTAACGACACACATGAATAAAATGAATCATTTACTAGCTTCTTGGTAACCTTGTGACTTTTCCTGATCCAAGTGTGAGTCCTGTGCTTCCAGTAGTATAGGCCTCTACTACTATTCACACCTACTCATACTCGTCCCAAGTATTGTCTCGCAGTTCCCAAGTCACCATTCAAAAGTTTTTGACAAAGCAACTTATCACACATGAACGTGTTCAAACAAATACGTACAACAGTTTCTCCTAGACTCAACTAGGGTTTTCACGTTTCTATCAAACATATATTGGATTACTTATACTCGCCTTCTAGGATTTTTCTCATGCATATGCTCGATTTAATATATCCTAATACTTTTCCATAGGTCGATAGAAATTTACTTCCATTTCTTCATATTAATTCTTTCTTAAGTAGTGTCTACTCTACAAGACACATTATTCCAAAATTTACTTTAGCAACATGGAGATAAACGGTCTTTTACTACCTGCATCATCTTCTAACTCATGCAATCCATTATTCACTTTTGCTAATTTCATTATTCTTCCTTGACATCGTTATTCTTGTATCTGAGTAAGTCTAAGTCTATTTCATAGGAGTCTATCTTAAGAAGTCTTCATCTTAGCTGCATCTCAGCAAGCTTTACTAGCTTCAACTTGGTTCTCTGTCATTCCTGACTACAACATTTCTTCTCATACGATACTATGGGTGTATTTCTTCTTCAATTAAGCATTCTACCTTACTTAAACAAATAAGTTGCTTAACCATTTACCACTAAATGACTCAATTCACCATCCCAATCTTGTATGTTAAAGTCGGCTTAACACACAATGGAACTTTATATCACAAAGTCTTGGCCTATTGAGTCTGAAAACTTCATTAGCCTTTCTTTTGATCTTTATTTAATTCTTCTAATATTGTACCACATCAATTGAGATACTATCGAAGTATTTATGGCCATCTTCGGTTCTTTCGACTTTCTAAACAATCATTGCTTCAATCTGAACAGCGGTAGAACAACTTCGTGGATTTGTACCAACACATTTATCTTGTCCAAACGTGTTTCAAACGCACATCTTTCTTCCAAATGTTATTATATATCAAACATACTTTAAATGTATATTACCGCTCTATTGGTAATTATACACTTATTACGATAACAATTCATATTTATTATTTTACGATATCTCGCGATCGTTTATTTATAAACTTATCGATGTCAACTATCATAAGTCTCTTTATCACTTCGAAAAATTCTATTATGAAAATTCTTTAAAATTTTCTAAACCATGGTCGGCAACAGACCTTAAGCTTTCTCACATAATAGAATATAAGGCATATCTCTTCTCTATGTCATTTATCATTTAGAATATAAGGCATATCTCCTCTCTATATTCATTTATCATTTAGCACATAATAGAATATAAGGCATATCTCCTCTTAATATTCTAGTGCTTGCCTTCATTAGGTATTCAACCTAAAATATATCGTATCATATTTACTTAATAATTCTTGTTTAAGTTTAGAAATTCTTAAAATTTCTAGTTTACTTAAACTAATTTTCTTAAAATTCTGAAGTAACTTAATATCTTAGAATACTAGGGTTTATCATTACCCAATCCCCACTTAAATATTTCCTATGGTTTGTATCCATATACTTATTATGAATCAGCTCATATATTGAGCTTCCAACAGTTTAAGTCTAAATATCAATCCGTGATATTTAGTTCACTTAAACCATTGCTCTGATACCATGATTGAAAGACCCCAACTTTCGTATTTATGAAAGACCCAAACTTTCATACTACTTCAAAAGATTTCCTAAGTTACTTCCTCAGAACATGCTACATGCATATTTATAAAACAATATTTTATATTGATAAAGTGATTACAAAGGATTGGATACAAACCGACCAAGTTTTATTACATTTCATGTCTACCCAGGAATCAACTATTCATACATATATATATATATATATATATATATATATATATATATATATACATGAACATTAAAAATATAGAGAAATACTATTAACTATTCTAAATCTTTCAGCAGTATAAAGCTATATTGGAATACTCATCACCTGCAATTGTTAAATATTGAGAGGAATAAGCGATAACGCTTAGTGAATTCAATAGATAGATACAATATAATCTTATGCCTTACATATACCAATATGACAGAAGCAGAAGGTAACAAGAAGACATATGTGAAATCATGTGACAAGCGTTCATATCAATCAAAGACTTTATTCAAATATATAATTTTCAATGAGACATAACGATTTCAATACTTGATATGCATCAGTAAAGCTTTGGCCCAATTGGCACAGAAGACATATAATTTCTGATTAACATTTTGGTAGATTTCAGGCTTATAACCCTGTCTAACCATTTGCCAATACCATAGAATAGAGTTCATTCTCTTACGGAGTTATGCTCTACATGGTCAGAGGCTACATACCATTCATATCAAACCTTATGTCAATGCCATAGAATAGAAGTCATTCTCTTACGGAGCATGCTCTACATGTCCAGAGGCTACGTACCAGTACTAATGTGAATCTAAGTTCTTTCACTGATCACATGGTCAAAGGTATTATATTTGCTATAAACATAGCGAATAAAATAACATGGGAGAATAACTCAGAATAATAACACTTAGAAGCACATAGCACATATAACACATAACATACAATTGTTCATATATATTGAACTCACCTTAAGTTAACCGGGGGTTAAAATAGTAATTTGGACAACATTTCGGCTTTAAATATGTCTTTTTATGTTGAAAACCGGGAGCTTAATTGAAAACCGGGCTCTGCGAAGGTAGGGCTTCAAAACCGAAAAGATAAAATTTTCGGGGGTCTCGGGACGTGTTTCAGTTGCTAAAATTGATACCGGGGCTTCGGGAAAAGTCAAAATAGTGAAAATATGGAAAAAGGGGCCAAAAATGGAAAATTTCCAATTATAGCCGGGAGGGTTCGCACCCTCCTATTTATAGGGGCGAGGTTCGGATCCTGTGGTTGAGAAGCGAGCACGTGGCTGCTGGAGCGAAGGCCATGAAGCGAGAGGAGGGGAGAAGACGTGGCACCTGCGAGCTTCGGTCCAAGCATGTGAGGCCACGTCTCGGTGAGGCGGCTTAAGCGAAGCTCGGACACGCGAAGGGGGCAGCTGGCGCTTCGGAATCCGGACCAAACACGCGTCCGACTATGGACTTGCCACGATTCGGATGACTTAGCAAGATCGGACACCTGTGCGACAGGCAGCATTGCTAGGCGAGGCCACGTCTCCGGTGACGCACCTGCTTCGTGCGAGGTGACGCGGCCGGTTACTATTCATGCGAGATTTCTTGATTTTTGAGCCCCGAACTTCTAAAATCCATAACTTTCGCATACGAGCTCCATTTTTGACGTTATTTATATGCACGCATAGCTAAAATTACGCTCTACAACTTTCGTTTAGACTTCGTCGGCTAATTTTGACTTTATTTTTAATATTATTATTTTTAATAGACCGGGACAGGAAAACCCGTTAAAAATTCATAACTTCTTCATCCGACATCCGTTTTCGTCAGACTTTTTACCGTTCTACTACATATGACGAGACCTTCGATTCTCATTTAGGATGTATCGGTAAAATATCGCTCGATCTAAAATTCGAGTTTTTAGTTGTCTACTGTTAAGTTGAAACTTCGAAAAATCATAACTTCCTCATACGAAGTCAGATTTTGACATTCTTTTTATCGAATTTCTCGGTTTAACGAATACTACAACTTTCATTTAGATTACTAAGGCTAAAAATTAGTTTATTAAAAACTCACTTTTTACATCATTCGACGTTGTACCGATTTTGTAGCGGATCTTCGGTTGGTCATAACTTCTTCGTTATAACTCGGATTTCGACGAGGTTTTCGTCTACGAGTTTCTAACGAAATGATTTACAACATGAAATAATAAAATTTTACTTATTTTATTTTTTATATTTTCGCTAAATTTCACTATTTGGCTATTAATTGGAATCTCATAAGACTTCCAACATTTTATGAGTGATTGTAAACATAGTTTTACCTCATTTATAGTAAAAACTAGCTGTTAGAACTCAACACTCAAATTTATTTACTTTTAATAATAACAATACACAATTTCAGAACGTGTATGTTACAAATATCTATTTATATCTATTAAATAAAAACAAAAATATTTTTAAATGTATAAATAAGTTTTTAAATGTATAAATATGTTTTTGTTTTTACTTAATAGATATATTTATTTGTATTGAAATTATATTTAATAGATATAAATATTTATTTATTTTGTATAAAAACTATCGTATACATATAGAGAATCAGAGGGGTATATAAATACTACATACAAGTGTGTGTGTGTGTATATATATATATATATATATATATATATATATATATATATATATATATATATATATATATATATATGACTAAACGGCATAAATGGTCCATGTGGTTTGCTTAAAATTGTCACTTTTGTCCAAAAAAGTTCTAATTAACACCACAGGTCGAAAGTTTTTATTTTGTTGCAAGTTTCATCCAAAACACTTTAAAAATTCTTCAAATGACGGATTTGTGCCTTTTATTTCTTTTTTTCGTTTTCCTTTTTTTACTTTACTATTATTTTATTATTTTATTACAAAGGATCCTCTCTCTCTTTAATCATTTTCTTCCCTTTTGTCTCAAAAGAATTTCACTGTTTTGCCCTCTTCCTTAAAATAGGTATAGGCAAAAAAAGGAATTGAGTTGATAAGTTTCATCAACGGAGAAGCATTCGAAAAATGCCAAAGGGAAAAGAGGAAGACAATAAAAATGACCTCTTGTTGCGGGAAATGACGAAGTTAAGGTAAGGAGAACAACAACGACTAACCAACATTTTTCATAAATCGATTTCATGTGAGAATCAATTGGTTCTTGAAAATCGATTGGTTTGAATATGGGAGGGAAGTACATATGAGTCATTGTCGATTCCAAGATTTAGAAGGATGTAGAGAGCGACGATTTGAGAATTAAGATCGTCGGAATCAAGCCTGTGGACCAATTGGGGGGGGGGGGATTGCTTCGAGCAATGCTAAAGTAGATTTGGCATCAGAATCTTCCTTCGCTAA